GGGGGGGGGGGGGCACACGTGTGCTGTGTCCCAGGGAGACAAGAGCACACTCACTTCAGTAACTCCAAGATGACTGTATGTTACATGCAGCTCCATTAATAACACTTAGGGAACGGCTTATTTTTAACAAATGAGTCCATTTAAGGAAAATGTTGAATCAACAGTAACAGTCCAGGAGCTGGACACAGAGTCCCACGAGGGGGGCCCTGCAAAGTACAGAGCACGGCTGCTTTCCTACCAGCCCACCCTCACCAGACACGATGCTGCTTCTGGGGAAGCCTAAAATTTTCCAAAAGAAAGCAGCTTCTGGGTCTCAATGCTTGCAGGCAGAAGTCAGATCTGTAAGGTCACCCTCCATCACTGAATACTCACAGGCTGGAATATTTTCAGTTTTTTCTTGCCACTCGGGTTCGCAGCCTTCTCAATTCTCCCCTTTATCCCTTGGTCTTCGCTGGATTTCTGCTCTATGGTCCCGATACTTGTACACTCTGTGCCGTCGGCGTCTGCAGGTCGCAGTCTCGCTTCCTGCTGGTCAGTGGTTTCTGAGTTAGGCTCGTCCTGCACCTGCAGGATGGTGCAGTTGGGGCAGATATAATCCTCCCCGTTCCTCTCCAGGAGCCGCCCTCGAGCCTCAGAAATGCCCACACAATCGCCATGAAACCATTCTTCACATCGGTCACAACAAATCATAAACCTGAAATTAGAAAATAACCAGGAATGGAAAATAAAGATAAGACTCAATTTTAGACATATTAGTAAGTCAAGGTTTCAACACTTAAAAAAAATGCAAACATACAGAAACGTAGAGAGACAGGATAAAGAACACGGTATACCCTTCTCTTAACAAGCAAGTTCATGTAATTTTGTTTTGAGTAGAGCGTTTTAAGTGAGCTAAAGGCCTCCTGACCATCCCCCAATACTTCAGTACCATCGCCACAAGAGCAACGTTCCCCTCCCACCCAACGAACCAGACAGTGGTTCCTAATGCCACCAGAGCAGCGCTACCCGAGAGCAAGCTCTGGGATGAGAGCGATGTTTCAGTCTGTGCTGCCTTGCACACACACTGCTGGCTGCATGTGGCTAGTGTGACCGAGGTGGTGAAGAGCCCTGAGCAGCCAGTGGCAACCACAGTGCATGCAGTGTGTGGCTCCAGAGTACCTTTTTGACAATGACTTGTTCATCTTTTTCAACAGCACAAGTTGCTCATTCAGCCCAGCTCTGTAACCCTAAATCAAATCGGATGGAAGACTCCCCAGCTGCTTTCTCACGTGGATTTCCCTGAAACCCGGGGCAGCCAGCATTCTCCTCGCCCATAACCTACCTGTTGTTGTGAGGCTGACGACATATGCAATACAGAGCGTTGGGGTCATACACCTCACACTCAGGCTTGTGCTTGACCGAGCCTCCAGGGTCCTCCTCTTTGACCCCCTGGGCCGCCCGCCCTTCTGACTTCCTCTCTCTGTCATCGCTCGCTGCCTGCTCAGCTGCGGGCTCTTGCTGGCTGGGAGATGAGCTCTCCACAGCATCGGCCACCTCCATGTCCACAGTTTCTGTCAGGTCCTCCTCCCGACGCTTCTTCTTCAGGCGACTCTGGACACCTTTCAGGGGCCGATCAGCTGGCTCTTGCTCTCGCTTTCTTCGCAGGCGATTCTGAAGTTCTTTCAAGGTCAACCCATCACTGTCACTATCGGAGGTGTCGTCCTCACCATCACCTCCTTTGGCCTTTGCAGATGAGGCTGGTAGTCCCTTACTGCCAGCGGGGCCAACCTTGGGCCCACTTTTACTGTCAGAGGTGCTCTCGACGCTCCCCTCAGAAGCAGTTTCGACATCTGTGACTGGGCAGGAGGTTGGCTCACTGGGGTCCTCAGGGGAGACAGGCACAGTCTTCCTCCCTCTACGCCGGACCGTCGTGAGAAACTCCTCCACCCTCTCAGTCCGCTTCGGCTGCCTCCCACTGCGTCGCAAGGAAAGGCTCTGCTGCTGCTGGGGCTGCTGATCCACAGAGTCTAACTCCGCGTCCCCAGTGCCCTCTCGTTTAGCAATGGTGGTCCTTCGAAACCCCCACGTTTTCCTAAACTCTTTACTGGTGGGTTTGATGACCTTGGGGGCTTCCTCATTGCTCTGGTCACCTTTCTCATCCATACCTAATGGGGAAATGCAACCAAACCATGACCAACGTTAACGAGGCCACATTCCTTGGTGAGTGAGCACTGAGCCACTGAGCTAGAGGAGCACGGCCTTCATCCCACAGGAGGGAGACCACCCACGTGACCACTCAGGAAAGGAATGACTTCCTATCCACGACCAGTGAAGATGGCTCTTAAAAGCAAGTCATTTTGACCAGTTTCCTAAAGTGTGATACATGAAATCTGAGGTGATTCTTGAACAAAACTCAAATTGTTACATATCTAATATTAGAAAGAACGAAAAAAACAGCTAGCAGATCTGCAACTTTGCCATTTAACTGCTTAGGACAAGATCGAATAAAACAGATAGTGGGGAAATATCAAATGGGCCTCAGTCCTGGGCAATAAGGACAAGACCAGAACAGTGTTTGCTGCAGTGGACAGGAGATGGCTGCCATCTCCCCAAATCAGGCCAACAGTGGACGCTGTGCCAGTCCTGGGCTTCGGAGCCCTGAGCTGCCACGCAAGAAGTCCACCACCTGGCTGGAGAGTATATATGGAGAGGATGTGTGCTGGACCTGCACCACAGCCCAGCTGGGTTCTGCTCAGGCTCCTGAGCACCGACTCAATAGATACAGAAGGGTGAGTTCTGGGGATAGTTGTTACGTAGCAACACATAACTGGGACACAGGAAATACTGACCTTGGCAAAAGCTTTAATGTGTATTTATTCTTCCTATTTTACCTTTCTCTCTTTCCTACTAATAGATTATTGAAGGGTCATGTTTGTGAAACCGTGACTCTTGTTTGAAATGATAAAACCCAAAGAATACAGTACATACCTTGAGAATTATTTTCCGAGCTGTCCAGGCTTCAATCACATGTAAATGCTCGTGATGATTCAGACTTTACGCCATGTTCCATCCTAGGGGAAGGACTGGTACAGAATGAAGACCTTCAAAACATAAGATACACAAAGTTCAAAACCTTACGCAACACGACTCCTTTCTACTTCGCACTAAGTGCTGTCACTCCGTTTCCTGTCCAGCTTCGCACACTCTTCACTGTGGAACTTGGCCTCATGCTCCCAACCACTCAGAAGCTTGCTAGAGTGGCTGTGACATCAGCATGTGTGCCACCTCTCTGGTTCCAGCTGAACTAAACTGGGGTGCTTACAGTGCTTCCAACACAGAGTGCTCTGGCTGGTGACCTTGAGCAAGTCACACTAACTGCTTGCATTCAAGAAGCAGTTCTGATGTCATAATGTTGTGAGCTCAAATGTGAGAAACACCACTCATGCTCCCCCAAAACAGGGCTGAGACCCTTGCACAGTACATGTGTTAGAGCTGTTACTAACCACACTAGTTACAACTGTTTGCCCATCCCAACCTAGAAATCTGACTTTTAGGATAAGTGTTCTACTCTTGCAAATCAACTTGCAGCAAACCTGACAGCCATCTTGAAAGACAGTCAAGCCGGGCTAGGCGTGGCCCAGCAGTTGAGCGTTGACCCAGGATCCAGGAGATTGCGGTTCAAGTCCCAGTCAGGGCACATGCCTGGGTTGTGGGTTTGACCCCCAGTGTGGGGCGTGCAAGAGGCAGCCGATCAATGACTCTCTCATCATTGATGTTTCTATCTATCTCTCTCTCTCCCTGAAATCAATAAAAACGTATATTAAAAAAAAAAAAAAAAAGCAGCAAAGCATAGAGCAAACAGCTGTTTAAAAAAAAAAAAAAAGGCCAAGCCCTCGTTTCATACAACAGTCTTAATTTCATCAAAGACACAGTGTGAGAGGACTGATGTGCAGGTAGCCACAGTCCCTCCATCTCAGAAGGTCTGTGATTGAGCCCCACAAAAGCTCCCGCAGGGCTGGGAAATGAGCCCCATTCCCAATGCAGTGTGGACAGTTTTCCGCAGGAAGAATTTTCTGCAAAGTACACTTCACCACAGAGAGAACATACTACCTCAAGGTCTATGCACTAATAAAACAACCAACAGGAAAATATATGCTCTGAATCAAATTGTTATTTTTTCCAGTTTGAACTAAAGTGTTTTACTTGTGAAATCTTTTATATTTTTTGTATGCTGAATATGGGCACCAAAAAAACCTGTAAAAGTTATCTTTTTCAATTGAATGCGCACAAGTAAAAGGTTAGAAAAGGTAAAAAGAAGTAACATATTATTCCACATTCACCTAAAACACTTTTCGGCTCAAGTTTAGAATGTTTCAAACAGATATGAATGTTACATCATATCACTTTCTTTACTTATAATGCCCTTTAGAAACACAAATCACAACTTCAAACTGAAGGTTTTGCTGTTCAAATTTAACACTACTGATACGTTACCTGCCCTGAAAGCTTGGACACTTCTGGGAAGTCCTGAATACAACAGAGAGCCTTGCCGTTGCAAGCACTTGGTCCAAGCAAACAGCCAGGCCTCAAACACTGCTGCCGCCAGTTACTGCTCACTGACAACTACGCAGATTATTGTGAGACCGCTCGCATGAGTGAGCTCCTAGAAGAAAGTAAGAAGATGGTTTATAGATCTTGAGTAACTATAAATTAAACTACATTAAAAACCAAAAATTAAGCAACAAAAACCACACGAAAAACAGTCCCCTTCCTTCAAGGACTTTTAGAGAAAATATTGTGATCACACAGGGACCAAGAAAGGCAGGGAGGAAGCTGGTAATAACAGAACAGGTCCTGGCAGGATAAGATGGAAGGTTTCCACAACCAGTAATCAGGCATCAGCTGCTTCCCAATCACGATCCAATTTCTGAAACAAACCCAGTTCAATAAAACCCAACAGAGAAACAAAATGTGAAAAGGGCCCTGGACAGTGTTGCGCTAAGTGGTTAAGAGCATTGGTTGTACATGGAAGGGTTGTGGGTTCGATTACCAGTCAAGGGCACATGTGGGAGACAACCAATCAAAGTGCCTCTCTCACATCTATGATTCTCTCCCCTCTCCTTCCACTCTCTCTAAAGATCAATGGGAAAAAAGTCCTCTGGTGAGGACTAACAACAACAACAAAAAAGTGAAAAGGCTGAACAGCAAAATGAAATAAATGTAATTATTTAAAAATTCTTAATACTGTACCTATGCCATCATTTTAGTTAAAAAACCTGAGAAAGATTTTAAAAGACTTTATGATTGAGCATCAACATGTTACAAGTCACCTGTGTGTATTAAAAACATCTTTCCTCCTACACCCTCTTTCAAACTAAGGGCCTCACCTAGTCTGAGTCTCACTAAACCCAACCTGCCTTTGTTCCCTGAGGAGCCCTAAGCACTGATCTTTTGACACATTTCAGTCTCTTCCAGAGCCCAGAGGACCCACCTTACCTCGCTTCCTCCTAGCCTCACTCCAACTGCCTCTGTGTAACTGTGGTAGCCTTAGTGACCTCAGAACAAAGCCAAACATTCTGATGCCCATTCCTTTTAAAGCGACAGTGACCATTTCACCCCATTAACCAAATCTGTCATCACAGCCACCAAATCTCTTGAATGTGGCAAACCCGTCTCAAAACAAGGCTTCAATGGTTCAGAAACTTTACTTCTCAGAAGAAACTGGAACTAAACCTTATTTGTATATTCCATAACCCCAAGAACAAAATTTAAGATATTCTCAGGAATGAAAAAAAACCTTTCAATTTATGTTACTCTGAAAGACAAACATATGTCTGTATTTAAGTGCTGAAAATTTCATCGGAAAAGAAAAAAACCTAGTTTAACTTCTAATGAGTGGCATGAGATAAAGTCCATATTCAAAACACACCGCATTTTAGTCAGTTTGTTTCATTTATTTGGACTTTTTTACATTCGCAAAATTGACTTCCTTTCATAATTTCTTCAACACAGAAATTCTAATATGAAATTTCAGCTCATGATACAAAACATGGATACAAAGACCAAAGAAAAAACATGCATAATTAAGTGCTAAGTTCCTAACACAACTTACATTAAGTGTATAACCCTTTACACCACGAGGAAAAGGGTTGCAAAACCTGCATTCACATCATAGTAATTAACAACTTTCCCCAAGGAAAAAAGGCAGGCATCCCTGAAACTGGTAAAGTGAAAAACACCGCAGACGAACATCAAATGTACTGAAAGAACTTAAAATTATCTTTCTACATTTCTAAGTGCAAGATTTTTCTCAATTGAAAACTGCTCCCTCCCCTGCTAAGCCAAGGTAGGAATGATGCTATGAAATCATAGGTTTAAAAATCTCAACTGTTGTTAAACCATGGAGTATGCACCTGGCAGGGCAACCCCAATGGCTGAAAGGGATCCAGTACCTTCAAGGTCCTTGAAAGGCAACTCTCCAACTTTTGGGTTCCAAGGCCTCTTTACACTCCTAAAAACTGAAGACCCCAAAGAGCTTCTGTTTTTGTGGAATACCTGGTTATTTCCAAAATTAAAACAAGAAAGTTTCCAGGTAACTGTGGGTGTTCTTTGCTACTCCACACCAAGCTTTGATGAGTTGCAGTGTCACATTAGCTGCAACAGGGAAACAGAAACCATATGGTATTCTGGATCACTAGTTCACACAAATCCAAGTGCAGCATGTTCCATCAGATGACACGGAGGACACACACGTGCTAATGCTGGCACCTGTCTCCTCAGACGGCTATTGTCACTGGTAAGCCATCAAGCTCACAATGGCACATAGAAGCTTTTCAAAATTCTAATATTTGTTTGAAAGCTAGAATTTTATCGTTAGCAACAAATACTGCCAGTTTTTCCCTTGAGACTCACATCCTTCATCTTCAAGAAAATGCCTGCCAAAAACCAGCCTGAAAACTGCAGCCTCTCAGTTGTCCTTTCAAGAACAGATGGCTCAGGTCCCAAGAGCACCCTGCCAGGGACCCGGGGACAGACTCCTGTAACAAGGCATTTCTATTAGTATAAGAACACACCTCGCCACGTCATCACAGGGAGCATGAGGGAAATGTACACTAATGGCTAAGATTGAATAAAATAATCTTTACTGCTTCATCAAAGACATGAAGGGAAGCTGGTGCATTTTAAGTGACCAGTGTAGAGGTGGAGAGCACACAGTAGGGTTTTATATCACCAACCCAATTTGCTTCTGCACCACCACCGGTGCAAATGTCAACTCAATGGGGAAGGCCGACAACGCCAACTATCATAGTGTAAAGAGTTTTGACCTCTTGTCCCCAGAAGGGTTTGGGGACCTCCAGGGACAGGCTCCTGTAACAAGGCATTTCTATCGGCTTAAGAACACACCACATCCATGCCCAGCACTCTCACACACCTGGGCTTCAGTATCAGGAGGGACTCAACACTTCCTTCCACAAAACTGTTCTAAAACAACCCTCACTCTGTCTTTCATTCTCCACTTCTTCAAAATGTTAAGCTGCCAGAAGTGAATTTCTTAAAAACAAAACCAGAAGTACCCTTCTAAAATGTAACGCGTTACTTACAAAACAAACTACGAATATCAGTGGTGGGGGACTATGACCATGGTGAAGCCAACGGCCCCACACCACAGAGCACACTGGAGGCCCGTTTCGAGGGGTGCAGTTCAATACAGTGACGAGACCCATGGCCCTAAGTCACCTTCAATATGCTATCCAACCACAACGTGGTTCCTACTCTCACAGCACAACCATTTCTTCTCAAAGAGCACATCCAGTGCAGATGTCCTACCTGGTGGCAAAACCATGTTTCTCCAAACCTCATACTCCCCAGGACAATATTCAAAACCAACCATTTAATTTTGAAATAATTCTGACCCACCAGTCAGAAATTACATCCAAAAGCTACATCATAACCTCGCTAATTTGGACTCTGCTGAATCAGAATATTTAACTCTTTGACTCTCACAATTCAGTTTATATTAATGGGGGAGTCACTAATGAGAATATGCTCAGAAATTCCAACCATGCAGGATATCCCGAGAGCATGCCATTCTCCAGGCACTGGTAGTGGCTGCCCTCAGTCCACAGGCAGCTCTGCTGCCATCGACCCCTATAGGTCTGCAGTTGCAACACTCGCTCATCCACAGAACATGAGCATACAGGTTTGGGCCACAAAGTAACTAGGAGGCTCAACTGTACAAATTACATTTAACTCTTCAGAGAGCTCGCTCCAAGTTTTGCAACTTACAAACAACACTGTCATTACTACAACTATTTTGATGAAGCCAGGGTGTCCAGAACACAGCAAATTTCTCAAGAGGTATAGAGAGAGATCCGGAAACAACCCTGCTCAGGTACTTTTGCTTCACAGATGTGCAGATACAAAAGCCAACCTTATCGCTCAGAACCCTCTGCAGGATGGGGGAAAGGTGGGTGCTCTGGTTTCTCTCTACCTGGTTCTGGTGCAAAACACAGGCTTGTGACCTCAGCAGGCAACTATCTAAATGAGTCAGGAATCAGAACAGCCACATGAGTTAATACAACTGAAGTCTCACTGCTCTCTATTTAACGGTCCAGACAGTCTCCTAAAGTGCTACTTTGAATGGGTTCCTGCTGTGGTCTGCGTGTTTGTGCCGCTTTCCCCAAATTCACATGGACACACAGTGCTCAAGGCAATGAATGGTACAAGGAGGTGGGGGCCTTCGGGAGGTGCTTAGGTCACGAGGGTGAAGCCCCATGAGTGGGATCATTGCCCTGATAAACAGGACCCCAGAGAACCTGCCACCCTGTGAGGAGACAGTGAGATCCGCATCTGCCACCAAAGAGGCTTCACCATGATGCATCCACAATGACACCCAGATCTTGGGCCTGCAGCCTCCAGAGCAATGAGAAATAAACCTGTGTTGTGTGTAAGCCCTAGTCTGCAATATTTTGTCACAGCACCCTGAGTGGACAGAGCCAGCTGCCTCTTTCCTCTCAGTGAACAAGAAAACATGGTTTCAAACACTGTTCAAGGAATCGTCCAAATCCTACATCCTGGGAGACCAGTGTTCCTAAGACAAGGCCACCACTGGGCCTTAGTGATCCTCTGACCTGTCCAGGTTCTTGATCTCATTAAGAAATCTGCCCTGTAGAACAAGTTTGGCTACTGCTAAAGGCCCAATGCAGTACTGGGGCAGGTTCCTGGACAGAGCCCTTCCCTTC